GTGGATGTGATCTTTATTTCACAAAGAAAATATGCAATGGATCTTTTGAAGAAGTTCAATATGTTGAATTGCAAAAGGAAGTCACACCCATGAATATAAATGAAAAATTAAGTCAAGATGATGGTGCTGGAAGTGTGAATGCAACATATTTCAGGAGTCTTGTTGGAGGCTTGAACTATTTGTCTCATACTAGACCGGATATTACTTTCTTTGTTGGAATTGTGTCCAGATTTATGCATAATCCAAGCAAGCTGCATCTTGGAGCTGCAAAGAGAATTTTAAGATATATAGCAAGAACTGCAGAGTTGGAAATTTGGTACTCCAAGGTATCAACTTTTAAACTAACAAAGTTCACTGATAGTGATCATGCAGGTTGTATCGATGATAGAAAAAACACGTCTGGATTTCTGTTCAATCTTAGATCAGGAGCAATTTCATGGAGTTCAAAGAAGCAGGAGGTGGTAGCATTATCATCATCAGAGGCTGAATATATTGCAGCAACAGCATCAGCTAGTTAAGCAGTTTGGCTAAGGAGACTTCTTGCTGATTTTGATCTGAAGCAAGCTAGAGCAACAGAGATCTTTTGTGATAGCATGTCAGCTATTGCAATGACGAAGAATCAAGCTTACCACAGCAGAACAAAACACATTAACGTTCGTTATCACTTCATTCGGAGGCTTGTTACAAGTGAAGAAATCATGTTAAAATCTTGTAATACAAAGGAATAAGTTGCTGATATACTGACAAAGACGCTTCCATTGGAAAAGCATGAGAATTTCAGAAAAATTATGGGAGTTAGTAACTTTGAATCAAGGGGAGTGTTGAAATGTAATTCAAAGTTTGAATGAGTTTTTCTCTTATCTGTTAGTTTCCTAAATTTAAACAAGTTTCTTTTACAGTTGCAAATAGGTAACAGAGTAGTGGGATTAGTTGTGGGATTTGATGACGGTTTTTTTAGCTCTGTTTGTTTTATGTAAACCTATATATAGAGACTCTTTTTGCTTGTTTTACATAGATTGGAATCAGAAGAAAAAATTTACAAGTTCTCCTACATTTGCTGTCTCCTGCTCTGGGT